CCTTAAAGGACTGTTCACTTTCTAGACCTGCAACATGCCCTGCTGTGAGAACTAGCTGCCTAGATAAGAGGATGAGCCCTTATCTAACACTGCTAAGATTAACACAGCTACCTTATAAGGAACATTACTCTGGGCCAGGCAGTCTTCTTAGTGCTTAAACTCGAGGCAGTTATTGCTCCCAGTAGACATAAAAGTGAGCTAAAAATTCCCCTAGCAAACCCAGCTTTGGCTGGGTTTACAACAATAAAGTCTCTAATTGCTTTTGTCCATTTAGAATGATCTCCATTTCCATGCTGCTAAAGGGTAAGTGTACATAGCTTTTTTGTTTATAACAAACTGCCAACTATGGACAAAAACAGCTCCCTTTAGTCTATACTTTAGTGGAACACACATCCACCTTATCTGTGGCCACTTTTCCACCTCAATTCCCGGAAAGCTCAGTGGTTGGCAAGGCTGCAAAGATTTACCATCTCTACAAGAACATCTGACACCTGGCTTAGACCATTAGTGTACCTTTCCACATACAAAGGTCTGTATCAAAATAGAGGGTGAAGACAAATAAAGGATGTAGATTCTGATGTCGCCAGAGACATGGGAAACAGAGTAGCTCCATCACCCACAGCTATCATATGAAAAGGTTCTCAGGAAGGGATGAAGCTTGAACAAAGTAATCAATTAGCCTGGAGGACAACAAGATAAGGGGGCTTGGGCTTGGGCTTGAAACCTTGGCTCTAACAGATGAGAAGGAAGCCATATGCAGAAGTCATGCAGAAGCCTAGAAAGACGAGGGCCTTTTGTTGGGGGGAGGGGGGGTGTAGCAAGAGTATGTCTTACAGGTCCTATGCATTCGAGATGGAAAAATCCGTCTAGAAAGGTGGGGGTGGAGGGACTGAACAGTTGGTTAACAAGAGATAATGTGATCGGATTCTATTCTTGAGTCCCTTCTTTCCCCACCCTCCTCTTCAAATCCACTTTCTACTTATTAACCCTTCAAAAAAAACCTGAGAACTATGGCCCCAAGAGGCCGTTCCCAGGCACCCACCCCCCACAGCCAGCCTGTCCCTGGTTAGTGAGGCTACGCCTGCTGTGCGCAGACCGGCACGTGGCCGAAGGTCCTTCGCTCCTTGTTCCTTCCCGGGAGGACATGGACTGGGCACGCATCAGCCCAGGAGAAACTACAACTCCCAGCTTTCGAGTGGTAAGGTGATCCTTCCATCTGCTCAGTAAGGAGCAGAACAGTGGTGTAGAACCAACCTTACCAGAAAGCTAGCACATGCCCTGTCCCTTTCTTTGCTCTTTCTCCTTGGAATAGGATTTGGAATATTCAAGTGGTAACAAAAACCCAAAAACACCTTCATCCCTGAGGTGCATCAGAACAGGAAGGCAGATGAATAGGTCCCTTTAGTGGCAGAGTGTGGTCAGCTAACCTCTATACTCAGGTCTCTCATTTAAACCAGTACCCACCCCCCCCCCCCGGGGTGAAGCTGTTCATTCGCAACTGCTACAACAACCCCAATTCCACCCAGGAAGCTGCCACGGATGAGGCTGCTCTTATCTTCAAATACTTCCTGTATGTTTTAGGCAAATATTACAGTACAGGTGAGCATTCAGCCCAAAGGAGGCAGAAACTTCTGAAACTACTTATTCCCTGGGAAAAGGTTTTATTTGACAATCCAATTTGCTTTAAGAATGTTTAAAGTCACATCCAACTGGGTCTAACAGAAACATGAACAAGCGCATTTTGCACCCTCTCCACCCCTGCAAAAAGCATATGAAAAACAAGGTTAGAGAAATTCAAAACCAAGTTGCCCAAACTTACGACTCCAGCACAGGGCTGATTAAATGTTCATCAAAGAGGCGTTGTGTTTGGTAATCAACCAACTCCACCTGCACTGCACTTTGATCTCCGTTCAGTCGAAGTCCCTCAGCAAGTACTGTTCTCAGCTTCTCCATATTACCGGCCACCAAGTGGTTCACCTTCGGATAAATAATGAGTCTTTCCAGGGGTACATAGAACTTCTCTCCCACACTGTAAGGTTTGGGGGACTGCTCTATTTTGGCCCTTTGAGCTTCTGTTAGTCCAAACTGTGGGGTACAACTGCCAAGTGGTACCACTCGATTGCCCTCTCTTTTCCTCGGACCCCGGAGAAACCTGCTTTTCATTAAGCCGACTGCTTTGACTGACTCACTACTCAGAGTAAGCCGGAAGTATTTGCTTTGCTGTAAACTCGGGTATGAGGTGGTGTAAACCTGAAGGAAAAATTGGAAGAGGTTTCACTTCATTAGTAACTGCTTACATTATGAACTGCGTATTAACTATACATATCAAATCCTACTAGCCATGTGTCCCACCATGTAATGGGAATCAAGCCTCAAGCACAGTCATTAACTATATGATCTGCTTTAAAAATTCTAATGATCGGGGCGCCTGGGTGGCTCAGTCAGTTAAGCATCTGCCTTCAGCTGAGGTCATGATCCCGGGGTCCTGGGATCGAGCCCCGCATGGGGCTCCCTGCTCAGCAGGAGGCCTGCTTCTCCCTCTCCCACTCCCCCTGCTTGTGTTCCCTCTCTTGCTGTCTCTCTGTCAAATAAATAAAATCTTAAAAAAAAATTCTAATGATCAAAAGTCTCCCAAAGCCAAGTTTTTCCACCAATTCACACCAACGCAATGTTCCTGCCTGACATTAGAGGGAAATGCTTAGGAAGGCAATGTGCTTATACTTCACCATACCTGCTGAAACCCAAAGGGCCTGAGAAGCTTGGAGGTGCAGCTGCAATACTCACTTCCTGGGCCACACTATGGAGGAAGTGCTGCTGATCCTAACAGATTACAATAGGGGGTCACTGGCACATCAGCTTGGAGGCTTTCCAGGACTTCTGATCTTTCTCTGTAATGTGCTTTGAGACATGGCAAAAGGCCAGGTGGTCTCCAGGGCGAAGTAGATAGACCAACCCTGAAGGCAGCTGTGGGTATGAAGGATTCTAAACTCATTTACATTTATCTCTACAGTGGGGTCCCCTACAGAGTTCACCATCCTAACCCACGTGCTTCTTACCCTGGTCACTACCTCAAAGAATACTCACAACTTCATAAACGTGTTCCTCTGGAACGTGTTCCTCTGGCTCGGAAATGCTGCATTCAGTCGCCTTTGCTATGCTTTTCTGGAAGACCCCTATCTGGGTACAGTATCCAACATGCTCAGCTCCTACTGGCGGATCCCCCACACCAGTGAACTCTACGGAGTAATTGTACAGTTTTGCCACATCCAAAGCCCTAAAATCAAAAGAAACGCATTTTTGAAAGGTATGGTTAAATTAAAAATCTCCAGTAGAACAGAAAATACAATGAGCTAAAATACTTCGCAACTTGCAAATTCTTACAGCAATACATAATGCCATACAGGGTTTGCTTACTTCTGAGGGGCTTTAGGGTCCTGAGTCAAGTTTCCAGGTAATCACAAAAATGTGGAGACAGGGAAAGTTATGGAGCAGAGCGTAGGCATGAAAAAGGAGAACACAATGGCTACACACCCAAGTCCTATTTGGGTTTGCAGTCATGCCGGAAACATGACCATCTGTCCATCTGTCAAGGAACACTTGTGCCAGGGTATGAGGCTCACCCTCACTGCCCTACACACACCCCCTTCCTGTTTTGTTTCATCTCTACACCAGTACTCCTACTCCTGACTTCATACCAGAAGACACCTGGTGCCCCACTTTGCTTAGCTGCCTGAGACCAAAAACTTCCATTTATTTTGCCCAAATATGGTGGTCCCTTTTCTTAAATACCAAGCTGAATTTTGGGAAATTTTATTAGGATAAAAAACTTCAGTAATGTACAGGCATCAAGATGGACTTCCTGTGGGGTACTCTCCCCCCACGCCCCCCAACCCCACCACAAAAGTCACAAAAACATTTACGAACTCACCACGTCTGAAATTGCGTTCTGTCCCACTCAAATCTGTGATCTGGATCTCTAAAGGTTGATGCTGGAAACAGGGGATTGAATTCAGAGTTTGGTGTGCTGATGACAACCATGCCAGGAGAAAAGTACCCAAATACGACTTCAGGAAACTTGGCCAGATCTTCAGAATCTAAGTGTTCTATCCTGAAACGGTCAACGGGAAAGACAATGCAATTATTTTCCTAGTTGATTTAGCAAAACAATCTCTACGTTTATCCCTTCTGAATCTTTGTAACGGTACTTACATGACCTAAAACCAACTATTCCTAAATACTCACCCTGCCCTTGGACCATGTTGCCCCCTCTTTCAGGGCTCTCTGGGCCTCACTGTCAGTAACTAGAAAGTATGAGCGTAAGTATAAGCTCCCCAGGAGGCCTGCAGTGCTATGTGACTAGAACACATGCCCCACAAAAGTTGTGGGTTTAGGCATCAGATCCCAGTAGATTCTCACCCACACCCAAGGACCAGATTAGCTGCCCCAGTAGAGGCGGCCACTAGACCCAGTGAGCCATTTCTATCCTGATGCTGTATGTTAATCTAACCCACTTCTATCTTTGCCTTAAAGAGGAACAGGAGAGGGGCGCCTGGGTGGCTCAGTCAGTTAGGCGGCTGCCTTCGGCTCAGGTCATGATCCCAGGCTCCTGGGATCGAGCCCCGCATCGGGCTCCCTGCTCAGCAGAGAGCCTGCTTCTCCCTCTCC